CATCCCCATGGGGACCACGCTGCAGCCACAGCCAGCCCAACCCCGCAGGAAAGGAAACCGGCGCGGAGCACTAACACAAAGGGAGGGTTGGGACCTCTGCAACAAAGGGGAATGGGGCTGATGAGGCCACGGGGTCAGCGATGTGCCCCCTGGCAGGCACATCCCGCTGGGGTGGCGTCTGAAACCTTCCAGCCCCCCCTGCACCTCGCAAACCCTCCCAGAGCTGCAGCACTCCATCTCCCCAGAGCCGGGGGGGGAACAAATCCAGGCAGGCTGCATGGAAATAAACCCTTTCCTGCTCAGCACAGCCGTGTTGTTCCATTGCCTTTCTGCTGCTACAGCCCAGCACCACAGCTTGGCAGGAGGGACGAACCTGTGGCACAAGGGTTTTGCTGCCAGGGCTGCATCAGTGACACCCACACTGCAGGAATTTGACACAAAGTGCTGTGAAAGCCGGGGAGGGTCACCAGCAGGATCACAGCATCAGGCTGCTGGACACAGGCAGGGAGTGTGATCACACTGCACATGCAGCCCCAGCCCCCCAGGAAGATGAAATCACTTATAGGCATCGGATTTTAATACAGGAGCCTAAAAGTGCTCCTGCCGGGGGACACCAGCACCCCCTTCTAGAGGCCCAAACAAGCGCCAGCACCACAAGTTGCTCCCTACGGAGCCAAGTGCTTCATGAAGAGTTCACTCATGTATTCCCCCCCGCCCCCGAAAAGCAACCAGCCACGTATCTGCTACCAGCGGGCTGGGAACTCCCTGCAGGAGGGCAAAGCAGAGGGATCTTTACCACCCGGCCAAGGCAGAAGCACTGGGATGAGGCTGCTCCTCTGGGCTGGCAGCATTTCCCTTTGCATGATCAGGAAGAGCAACCACCAAGAGGCTGTGCCCCAGCCAGGGCAGGCGCATTCACAGAGAGCTCTCAACACTGCCGCGCTGTTCACTGACACGTTTTAATGCATGAGTCTCTGCGGTAACCTCTGACCCAAGGAGAGGGACCCAAACCCGCTCCACAAGCAAAGAGATGAGCGTACAGTCATGCCAGCACTGAGGGAACAAGCGGCCTGCCCCTGCCCTGAGAAGATGGGGGCAC